TTGGTACGTTCACCTTTAATGTAATTTCGGTATATATATTTTTAAGAAAAATGATATATATTATGTAAAGTTATACATTTTGTTATACATTAATGGTTTACATTACTTGTACTATTAAAATTGATGATTTCTATTCTTTATATCATTAAAACTGACGATTTTCATTATTTATATTATTAAAACTAACCGTTTCTATTACACATTGATGTTTTTCTATCAATATATAACAAAATATAGAACTTTGTAAAATATATATATCATTGTCTATATCTTTAATGTATTTGATATATACTTATTTGGCTTAACATTTGAGAAAAACTGGCAACCTCATATTTAGTATAATAATGATACTTTTTAAGTGAAAATAAAAAATTTTGAATTTAATTTATATAACATATGAATGTGGTGGATTTTAGTGGTAATATATATACACAAATTTTGTGTTTGATAAATTTTTATTACAACAGAAAAAAATAGTATACATATACACAAATTTAGTGTTTGATAAATTTTTTCATCAGTTTTCTATAGGAGTATTATTTAAGAAACATTCACATTTCAACATCTTTGAAAAACTACTGAAAATGCACAGTAGGTTCTCCTTTTTCCCTAAAACAGGGTCTAGAAGTCTGTATTTTTAATATTTTATTGAGCCAAATTTTATAAATAAACATGATATGATATTAAATAAATAAATAAAAAATTTTAAATAAAAAATTAATTATATATAATAATATATTATATTATATATTTATAACATTACGTGTACATTTTAATCATATAGTATTTTTACAACTGAGAATGCATTGGAGGTTTTTCTTTCTTTTTTGGTTAAATCTTCAATTTGGTGCTTAAATTATTGTACAGACTCTTGATTTGATCTCTAAACTAAAAAAATCTTTGATTTGGTCCCTAAACTATTATACGAATCCCCGATTTGTTCTCTACTATTTACCAATTTGCCTCAAGTTAATTCTTCTATATAAAAACAGCTGATGTATTTCGTTATTAACGTGACATGTGACTGTTAAATTACTGTTTCACTATTAAATACTAGATACGTCAGCTTTTTTTTTATACGAAATGACTAATTTGAGGCAAATTGGTAAATAATAAGGATCAAATCGGGGATCCGTATAATAGTTTAGGGATCAAATCATGAATTTTTTAGTTTAGAGACCAAATCAAAGGTCCATACAATAGTTCAAGGACCAAATTGAAGATTTAACCTTCCTTCTTTTTTTTTTTTTGGGCCGCTAAAACAGGCTCTATAGTTTATAAGTCCGTAAATTTATAATTTTATTGGGCCAGACCCTAACAGAACCCCCGGGCAAATAAACCCTGGAAAAGGTGAGCAGGCCCAGCAGGACGAGCGGCCGGCCCGGCCCGGAGGAGCTAGGGTTTATATTCGCGCGTTCTCCACCATAGAGTCTTTAATAACACTCTGCGGCTGCAATTTGACCCTCTCTAAAACCCTCCCTGTCTTTGCAGAGAAATTCAGCCATGGAAGAAGATATGGAGGTGCCGAAATTTCGAGACATCAGGCGCTACTTCTGTGATTACTGTGGAATTTCCAGATCCAAGAAATCCCTCCTTAAATCCCATGTTCTTGCCCATCACAAGGTTTTCATCTCCTCTCTCTATACAATAGTTGAATTGAATTGATGTTTTTGTTTTTAAATTAGGGGTTTTTTGATTTTGTGTATTTAATTGTCAATTGTTGCTGAGAAAGAAAGTTTCTTTGAGCGGTAAACAGTAACGTGCTTTTGATTTATTCATTGGGTGTGTCTGTGACTGATTGTTTGCTGAGGGGAAGTGGGATGCTAGACTTTGTTCTACATGTTTTCTTTTGAAATGGGATTTCTTTTTACGTATTTTGTGTCTGTATTTGTTTAGGAGGAGATGAACGAGGAAAGTGTTAGTGATGATGGGGAAGAACAGCCTGAACGATCCAATACTTGCCAAGAATGTGGTGCTACGTTTAAAAAACCTGCTTACTTAAAGCAACACATGCAAAGCCATTCACTTGAGGTATTTGTTGATGATTACTGGTTATGTTTCGTGTTGCCTCATAATCTTATTTCATAGCTCTTTAGGTATCGGTTTTGACACGTCAGGGAGCTAAATGTGCAGCATCTTTGTGGGTTTGGTTTCTTTGGTAGTTTATCCTATGATGTTTTTGAGTTTCCAAATTGAAGATTAATGATTTTGCAGGAAGTTGAGAAAAATAGTTTTGGATTTATAGCGTGAAGCATTGGATCCCACACAAGGAACTCCAAAATGCGAGAGGCTGCATCTGATACTTGAATGGACCAGTATCAGGTTGGGAGACCACCTGAGAAGCTCCATCAAGTGTGCCTCAGTCACGCACTGTTCCACTCTGAGGTTTGAGGGATCATTTATATGATCTTCTTTTTGCCCTGTGCTCGCATAGATCTTAAATCATTATTAGTTACCTACAAATTTGTTGCTCATTATTCCTTACATTTTTTTTTTTTTGCAGAGACCATTTATCTGTTCAGTTGCTGATTGCCTTGCTAGCTACAGAAGAAAAGACCATTTGAATCGCCACCTTCTTCAGCACCAAGGCCAACTTTTCAAGTGTCCGATTGAGGGCTGTGGCCGGGAATTTGCATTTCAAGGTAACATCAAAAGACATGTGAAAGAAGTTCACAACAAGGATTCCCCTGCCCATGATGTTGTCCGTCAGAAGCAACATGTCTGCCAGGAAATGGGATGTGGAAAAGTTTTTAAGTATGCATCAAAGCTGAGAAAGCATGAGGACTCTCATGGCAAGTTGCTTTCCACTCTAAAAGATTTTTTTAAGCTTTTTTTACCAGGCATCTCTTTTGATGTCTGAGGGTCAAATGTGTAAGGATATGAAACAAAATTGAATCTTCTTTTGAAGGTTTGACAGTTTTTCTGCTGTCTGATGAATGCTCTTACTTTTTCAGTTAAGCTGGATTCAGTTGAGGCCTTCTGTTCTGAACCAGCTTGTATGAAATATTTCACTAATGAGGAATGCCTTAGGGCTCATGTGCAATCCTGCCACAGTCATATTACTTGTGAAATATGTGGGACCAAGCAGCTGAAAAAGAACTTCAAGCGGCATCTTCTCTCACATGAGTCAAGAACTCCCTCTGAGAGAATTAAATGTGATTTTGAGGGTTGTCTCCACACATTTTCAACTGTAAGATACTGCCTACTTTAAATTGTTTTAGTTTTGGTATATGTTCCTCAAATTCTAACGTGGGTTTGCTTTACTCTCATTAGGAATTTGAATATGATTCTTTATCTGGAGTAAATTTTGATTGAAAACCTCATTTCAGAAATCAAATCTCCGTCAGCATGTCAAGGCTGTGCACCAAGAACTTAGACCTTTTGTCTGTGGCTTCTCAGGATGTGGCATGAGGTTCTCATACAAACATGTTAGAGATAACCATGAGAAATCTGGGACACACGTTTATACTCCAGTAAGTTACTTTGTTATCAATGTTTTGGTGTCTTCTTGGCAAGTAATAATGTTTTGGGATAAAGATTTTATACTATTCATCCATTTATCAGGGGGATTTTGAAGAGGCAGATGAACAATTCCAGTCTAGGCCAAGGGGTGGGCGAAAGAGAACACTCCCCACGGTGGAAATGCTAGTACGGAAGAGGGTTACTCCACCACAAGAGGATCCTACAATGGATCAGGAGGCTAGTCTCAATTGCTCTCACCAGATATGATTTGATTAGTACCGCGTACCATAGGATAAAATTATATTTGCTTTTTGAAATTAGGCACTGATATATATGTATCTTGCTTTAAGATGGTGTATATAATCTGGCCCTGGTGTGTTTAAATTGTTTCTTAATAGTAAGATCTTTTCTTTTTTATTCAAGTTTCTTTATGGGCTCTTTTATGCTGCCTGGTTCTCTCCTTCAAACTCTATCCATTCGATGATTAGAAGTTTCAAACTTTGAGACTCGTAATGTCGAAATTCAAGCTCTTATAAAGTGGGAAGAGGGGATGAGCTGCTCCTCACTTTAGCAGCATGTATACCACTATATGGTAGGGTTGCGGGTTTGAAGCGACCATTGAGGGATGTGTTGTTGCAATGAATTAGAAATCGATAATTAACCTTGATGCAATATATATATGTGTGTGTACATAAGTATTATGTATTGATATAAAATTTTAATTATAGCTTTTTTTTTAATAATTGATATTTATTATAACTTTTTAAGTGCAAAAAACAATTATTTTTAATAAATGCCAATCA